CCCTTTTAAATCCATATTCCCTAACCAGCAAAACACGATTCCAGACCCTCCTGTCAAACTCTTATAAACGTTATTTTTATACGCTACCACCCAAAAGAAACACAGTGTGCTAAAAAACACTATAAAGACCGCTGCTCTCCGTCTATTTTTATACTGCATGTGGATTGGAATTGTGCCTAACAGTGCTGCACATTTTAATTCTCCCCGATCATTACAAGCTCAAAGGGAGTGCTGTTTAAACAGAATTTTCAGCTGGAGGTGAATGACTGGTTGGAATGAAAATTATTTTTTTCTTCATCTAGCAAATCCTTTTTTTTTTTTTTAAGGTGAGGTTATAAGGAGTTCAAAACTAATCATCAGACCTCGTTTATTGTGTTTTGTCTGTGAAGCTATTCTCCAGGTGATGTTTATTTATAATTGGCTTCAGCCTCTTTAGCCCCTCTCTTGCCTTCATAATCGAGCCAATGGTGAGCCAGCGTGCTCTTTAAAAACAGAGATTGCCTCAGAGTGGCTTTTGAAAGTGAGAGCGGAGAGGGAGATAGACCATCAATGTTAACCATCGCGAATTACAAAGTAGAGATGGACGATGAAGAAAAAAAACCGCCTTAACAAGCAAGGCAGAGATAATAGACCTAGCCAGATAACTACTCTTCTTCTAATAGTGAAACAGAGTCAGTAATAGCCATCACGTCTGGTTGATATGATTGAATTTTAATAGACAATGCAGTGTCAATAAAGCAACTAAGTGTAAAATGTGTTTCTGCTGTTCTTAGTGTTTCAAGATTTTATAAAAGCAGACGAGTACATTTTTATTCCTTTTACAAAGAAATCTGGAGTGTGTTTTTGAGGCTCACTGAAGAAATGGCCGTTACTTGCCTCACTTTGCACCTCGATAATTACACATTCCAACCGCAGGGCGGTTTAGGTATTTCCAACACCCTTACAAACACATATCATGAAATAAATGTAATCTTCTTGATAGCAAGTCCTAAATTCATCAGTCAAGCTTTTACAATTCTGCTACTCATGATAGCCATTACTGAAAGCAAGAGAAAAAAGGGGAACGGGGAGGGGGGCCCGAAATCCCCATTAATCTCTATTTTGTATACCTGGAAACAATGTCATGGATACTCCAACCTTTGGCCATCTTCACGGAAAGAACCCATAGTTGCTCATATCTTGGAGGATGTTCATTCTTATCTGTGGACTTCTTTTATGATGCGCACTGATTCCTAAACATTGCTGCATGGACACTTACCTACACAGAATTGACACATTCATAACTCCATACAACTAACAGCAGCCACATGATATGTGTGCACTCACTACACACACCTTAATGGGTACACACAAATGCAGAATGTAACTTCATATATACTCATGAATCTACATGCACCTGTATGAAACTCAACCGCACATGCATGCACACACCTTCATGAATACTCAAATGTAGCTGCGTAACTGCTCTTCCATTGATATTTTCATGTTCCCTTATGTGAATCAACATTTTTGTTCTTTTATAAAGATGTACATCTTTATACCTAGGGCAGATAATGATATACAGACATATATACCATAACGGATTAAAAACTTCACTTGCCACTGGTGAGTGAAAATATAGGGCTGGCGAGAAGAACCTCGCTCCTGTTGACTATGCTTCTCCAGGTATGTAGTGGCGTGTCACTTAAGGCCTGGCTGGTATAAGCCTTGCCATAATGGCCCTTTACACTAGCAGGCACCTTTATGGATTCATCAATTGTATTCACACCAGCAGGAACATTAATTAATTTGTACATTCATAGATTCACACCATGCTGGGTGCTGATGCCCGCACAGCAGGAATCTTCATGGCTTCACACTTTAACTGATACTAACATTCACACTGATTGACACTTTACAGGAGTCAGCCAGATACCAAAATAAACCTCTATTTCACAAACCCGTCTCTTGCTCTCTTCTAAAGGACCACACTCCACTCTCAACTTCCAGTTCTGTTGCTTTCCCACCTCGTCGCTTTGTTGCTATACCCCACTCTGCCCTTTATGTATCTTCTCTAGACTGTAAGCTCTTTCGAACAGGCTCCTCATCAACCAACTGTTCCTGTAACATATTGTAAATGTCAAATTTCCCTCTTCATAATAATGTACAGCACTGCGGAATAAGATGGCCCTATATAATTGGCAATAATTATAATAAACGTTGACGGATACACGCAAAAACTTTTACAAAAGTCACACCAGCATGCAAGTTGATCGTCACTCTCACAGAACACACCTTAATGGATGTTTGAACCAGTACATGCCTTCACCGGCATTCAAGCCAGTACAAGCCTTGCCGAACAATGACACCTACACACTTCCTGATGGACACAGAATAAAATACGTATTGACACACACAACATCTTTGCGCTCTTTAGATCGTCATACATGCAGTTCGATGATTTTACATCACAGTAAAAAAAGACTAATGAAATAAAATATTAATGTGTAGAACAATTTTATTTTACCAACATAATATGAAAGAAAATAATGCAGTGAGCTAGCAAAAAAAAACAAAACAAAAAACCAACCAGTGGTCTTCATTGTCAGAATTTATATATTTTCTTATTTGCTTTAAGCTTATTTAATTCTAGGACATATGTACTCTAGTACATTCCACAGGGAATAAGTCTAAATTCACTTCTTAAACACATGGTAATATGGTATACAGTACCCAGAAGTAAACATCATCAGATTATCATATTACCGGTATATATACCTGATAAGTATAGTGTATATAATGACAATCCACTGCTTTACACTTTTCCCAGATATCAAAACCAGAATTCAGAATCTGAATACACAAAAAACAAAGGGAAAGGTTTGTGGTTTAGATATATAGACTTGTATTTCACGTACTAAAGATTTTAACAGTGGGCAGATCATCTACTGGGTGCTAATTTTCTACCTCTAGTTACTATTTGTCTAGTTGTGATTGTTCGGTTACAAAAAAACAAAACAAACATTCATATTAACATATGTACCAATCTGAATATATCTTTATTTTCATTTAAACAATATACATATTTAAAAAGCTGAAATATTTCCCTTTACATCTGTAACACAAAGTAGAAGTCTATCTTAAAATATCAAAATTGATTAATGAATTAAATAATATGCACGTTTTATGTTATTTTTTGATGTGTGATGGAGATTCATTTATTTACTGGAGACTTAAGCTTATAATTTATATTTGTTGGATGTTTATTGCTGCTGTAGACATGTCCGAAACACCGTCATTGCATTGAGTTGTAGCTGTGGTGGGCAATCAGTCCTCTAGGAAATGTCTGGCTAGACATAGTTACATACGTAGTTATCTAGGTTGAAAAAAGACTCAGGTCCATTCAAGTTCAAACTTGATCATCAGAGAGTAGTCAACCTATGTAAAATGAAGTCCCTAATGCATTAGCTAATGTCCATTTATGCCTTATTTCCACTAAGCGGTATGGTTCGGGTCGGTACGGTTCGGAAGGGTTTGAATGGTCCAGCCTATTCAGGTGAGCGTTTCCACTTCAAGTCAGACCGTCTGGGGGCATGCGGGATTTAGACCAAATGCCTAGCGTGTAATTTGTCATGAGCATTGACGTTTTCCTGTCCGCCAATCTATGGATTGTATAGTGTGACACCAGTTGCTCCACCCTAACCATACCGTACCATTTCCTATGGACCTACATCTGAAGGGGGCCCAGGAATGGTGCCGTTTGGTTCGGTTGTATGGGCCACTTTCATAATGGAAACACTCAAAATAGCGTACCAGACTGTACCGATCCGAACGGTACCACTCAGTGGAAACGGGGCATAAGAATGTCAACAGATGTCTTTGTCACCTCACATTCCTCATTGTATTGTTGACTGTTTAACCAGCGTCCGTCTAACAAGTCATTTCTGAGTCTAAAGACAAAATCTACTCATTTAACTTGGTTTGACAGGAGAGTGGCCGACTAATGACTGAGGATAATCGTTAAGATGCAGTAAATAAGGAAACATTGTCACCACGCAGTTTTATATTTACATTGCTTGTTATTTGTAGCTATAGTTCATACAGCTGCATTAAGTGGTTAAGAGGACAAATAGAACAGGGCTGATAAAATGTGTGTCTCTGCATAATACAAAAAAATTATCTTTTGCAGGTTAGCATTGTCAAAGTCACGGTCAATTTAAACATTTGCGATGTTTTCGAATAGGCAGCATGAGCAAGTTTTTTTTCTAGCCTATTGAAATGTAATGATTGCTCTATGGTAGGACAAGCCCAGTTGAAAACTTCACATATGGTTTACAGGGCTTGTGAATTTTCTAGTTTAACTTTATTCCCAAATTATTACCAAATTAAGAAAAGGCTTCATATTGTCACTTGCGCAGCATAAACCAGAAGTTGGAATACTGAGCAACTTTTTAATAAGGTGCTATTTTTACTAATAACAGTTTTTTTCAAGAACAACTTGTGCTTTTCTCTGGGTTGTGTATTTTATATATGTTGTACATGTAAATGGCTTCGTAACATGCTTTTTTATTTATCCTAATTGGTCATATATGTTTCTAAGTGGTTCTCCCTCTAGTAGTGGTGTGGTATATCATTTTGTAGAACGGATGAGTTACTCATGTAGAAAGATATTCCATGTATATACAATTGCTTGTTACCAGCCTATGCAATTTGTGTCAAACCAGTTGAGCAGTAAAAGCACTGTATAATAAAAAAGGCATTTATCCTGCCCATCGGAAAATGCCGCATTCATCTTTCAACAAAAGTTTAATCACTACAGAGTCCTCCTACACAAACTAAACACATTATGTGTGGTAAGGCAAAATGTAACAATAATTACCAGCTTTTACTATAAATGATAGCTAAATCTTCTTTTAATACTGAATATTCATTTGTACAAAACAGTAAACAAAACTACATCAAAGAAGGATGCAACTTTATGCAGTGCTGCTTACAAAATGTTGAACTAGTGCAGAAATGTGTATATATATATATATGTTTGTGTGTGTGTGTGTGTGTGTGTGCATTTATATATATCTATACATACACACACACACACACACACACACACACACATGAGTGTTTGTCTGTGTCTTTAATAGATGTAGACATGTGTATACATATACTGTATAAAGCATTACTGGTTGACCATGTCTGTGTGTGTGTGTGTATGTATATAGGTGTGTGTGTGTATACATACTTGTATATACACACACACATGTATATTCAACCACATAGTGCTCCTAACACGACTGTGATTGTAAGTCAAAGACAACATAATGAAATACATTTCCTCAGGTCATCAGTCAGTGTAAAAGTGCTCATTTAGTCCTTTAGAAGGCCAGACTGACCATCACATTAATTTTCACCATACTCCACTGGGCAAACATCCCTGTCATTCTCAACTTTGTCGAGGGTGACATCTGTTTCCTTTTCTCCATTTACAACACCATCACCAATGATTTCTTCAATAAGACTCTGGGTCTGTTCAGTGCATCCTAAGTTCACTTCCTTTAAATCTTCTGTCAAATCTTCCCCGTGCAACAATGCACTGTCAACCTTTGTATCGAGAGATTCTCGTTCGCCTTCAACGTCATCATTATTTGGTGGAGCTATTACTTCCTCAATCAGACCATCAGTTTTGATGTGTGTGCCCCCATCACTCTGCTGGTCTAAGTAGATGTTATCATCAACTGTTTCATTGATTTTCGGCAGCTCCTCATTTTTCCTGTTTTTGTCCGATTCTTTTTTCCCATCTGTGTACTGGTTGTCTTTGGAATTTGTCTTCCCCTTCAATTTCTTAGAGTGCTTGCTGTGCTTTTCATCTTTGGAAAACCTCCACTGAAACTGAAAGGACAATGTAGAACAATTACTTAACAATACAATAATTGCAGAGGCACCAGACTTCAAACATATATTATTTGGGTTTACGACAAGCAAAACACAAGTGGAAGACGTTAATATAAAAAATGTGAGTGAGTGCTCGGCTAGAAAGGAAAATATATAGTGTGTTGTCATTATGAAAAATATATTTGTTTTTATAATAGATCAGCACTTTATGCATCTAATCATAACATGTTCCCTAATGTCCATGTTTTCATAGGTTTTGACTAAAATGAAATGAGGAATTGATAAAGGGCTAAATTAAATGATGAGGTTATATGGGTGTGGATTGGTATTTTGGGAAATGAGGCAATTAAAAGCTTGGCTATGGTGGTTTAGTGAGTAAGTGATTATTCATCCATTGTCAAGTGCTAAAAATATTTAGAAAAATTCCAGCTCTACATTATATTAAGTTTTGCTTCCAAAAGGATCCATATGGTAGAATCATATGTCCCAAGTATCCCCTCCCTAGTTAGAACACAACTCAACCTGTATCTTTTTTTCTTGTCGCTTGTAACCGTCAAGGTGAAGGGTATGACCCAACAAGCATAATCTGAACCTATGTTATGCCAATAGTATGAAAGGGATAGAGGTGTATTACCAGACCTTGTGGCCGGGCTTAATACAGTGCCTATAGTAGACAAAGTACCAAACCAAAGTCTTTGGGATCCAGAAATACATAAGAACGTAATGCCAGGCCGGAACTAGAGGTACAGAAATCAGGATAGTCAAACAAGCCAGGTCGGTTTACCAAACAACACACCGAACAAAGAAAGCTGTATTGCCAGGGCAATGGCACAGAGCTCTATGAAGTCTTAAGTGCATATATCTGGCAGAATGATGTAAACCTAGAACGTGCTTGAGTGTCAGTGCCAAAATGATGCCAGGCAGGCTGTATCTGAAAAGTAACACTGGTACGTCTTATTAGAAAAGGATACAAGGGAATAGTGTTGTGTGTCAAAATTGATGCCTAAATGATGTGGGTCTGGACTTGGTATTTGCTCAGCGTCAAAATGTAATTGAATAGGATGTGAAGAAGAACAGAGAACTACAGGTAACCTTTCAGTAACATTTATCATGTTGTTGTCAATTATATTGGTAAACCAGGAAACACATGACAACAGAAAAAAACGACTTGGACTATCCCTCCAGATCTCGAACGCCATTGAGGTATGGATATACACTATACAGCTGGATCACACAACTCCAAAGCAGCAATATGCAAACTGTGCCTTTTAAAAACTTTATTTATATATTGTATAGAAAAATATTTGTGTAAAAAAAACTAGTGTGGTCTTAGGCTATGTGACCAATTATATAAGTAGGTCATATACACTTTCCTAAAGGTTTACGGAAATGCCATTGACCACATCTACAGTCACACCCCCTAAAATAAAACTGCTTCTCAACAGCCATTATCATTCGACATGTTGGAAAGTTTGTATATTTTTGTCAGGCTGCTACTTCAAGAAGTAAAGAGTGTTGTGTGCGAAAAAAACAGATTTAAGGCTATTCCTCCCCATGCAGATGAATCTTTAAACATGAATAATTATAAACCATCTGCTAAAGATTCTAGAAAGCCATTTTTTATTCATATGTGAGTTGTTTTTTTGTTTTGTTTTTTTAAATTTGCTTTTTCTTTTGGGACTTCAAGTTTCTAAATGGGAAAAAAAAAACACAGCCATTTTACTGTCTTTGTTCAGTACAAGTTCTGCCATTTCTTCATTGTTCGGATTTAATGTAAGGAGAGATTATTATTATTATTATTATTATTATTATTATTTAAAAAACAGCTACTTGTTCAAAATGTTTTAAGATCGCAACTAACTTTCTGTTCTAAGTCATCCTGAAACTCATCTTTTAATGGAAGAGCTTGGTTTTAAACAATGAGCGGTGAGGAAGCTCATGTAAGGCAAGAAACAGCAATGTCACAAAGGTGGGTAGAGGGGGTTACAACCGGGGAGTGTATAAAGTTAAAGTAACACTATGGCATGTATTCCGGACACTATAGGGCTGGTGTGGCTGTTAAAGCCACTGGCCCCTCTCTGATTGCCCTGAAAAGGTGATTTTAATCACTTTTTTACCATGCCAATGTGGTGTCGCCATGGCTGGCCCTCATCAGTCTTGATGATCTCAGCCAATTCAATGCTTTCACATAGGAAAGCATTGAAAGGCTATTGAGCACGGGTGGCAAAACACTGCACCAATCAGCATCTCTTCATAGTGATGCACTGAATCAACTAATGCATCTCTATGGGAATGTTCAGCAAGTCCATGCAGATCAGGGAGATGCTGAATATGGGTGGTGCATATTGTGCAGCACTGATACAGGAAGTGTCTGAGTGACTGCCACTAGAAGTGTTACTAGGCAATAACACAAACACAGCCTTATATCTGAAAAGGCAGTGTTTACATTAAAAGGCCTGCAGGGACTTACAATACTCACCAAAACCACTAAATTAAGCTGTAGTTGTTCTGGTGATTATAGTGTCCCCTTAAGTACATATTCTCCCATTTACAGGAGAGGAATATGGCCCAGACACATGCAGATTGACCGGTAGTCTCCAGCCATTACTTATTCTAGGTTACATTTTTTAAAGTAAAAAAAAGACATCATAAAGTGCTGTCAGGAGGATGGTTGTACTTTTTTTAAAACCATTCTTTTTTTGTTCTACACCAGCAATGACTATTTCTAATATCAAGGACAAAATATTTAGAGAGGTGAGTAAATAGTACAAAGTTATTAAAGTGATACAATATAAGCTGTATTGTTTTAGACAGGGTAGGCCAATCCAAAAAAACTCTTGGGCACCAACACTCATCGACCTCATATTGAAGAAAAATACTCTAAACACATTTCCTAAACAAGGAAAAAGGTAGCCAATATCCACACTGGACAGGAGTTAAACACTACTATAAGCCCACAGAAGAATGAGTTTGCTCAGAGATTTGCTGCTATATATGGGATGGAGCCCAATATGTCTCTTCCAATTTTAGCAGAATCTGGAAGTTACTCAGTGTAGGCAACCAGAGAGTTTGAAAGAATCATACTGCAAGTAACCACAAACAATATTATACAAACACTTTATTAGTTTTAATTAGGAACCATGTATCACTTTGGTAAGTATACACATCTATGGACGTCCTACTTTTTGTATCACCAATAATTAACTGGTAGTATCACATATTTCATACATCAAGTCCACTTTATCTAGATATGTACCTGGTGCTCATGAAAAACAAAGATACATATTCTCACATTTTCTGAAGACACATATTTCCATAGAAACATAGAATGTGACAGCAGATAAGAACCATTCTGCCCATCTAGTCTGCCCAATGTTCGAAATACTTTTAATTAGTCCCTGGCCTTATCTAAGGTCTAGGATAGCCATATGTCTATTCCACGCATGCCTAAACTCCCTCACTGTGTTAACCCCTACACTTTTTTTTTCTAAACTGAAGAGGAATTCAATAAAATCAGATCATTACTAAACCTGGCACTATATAATCTCTTCTTCTCATGTCAAAGATGTATCAAGATTGCTTTTTCAATAAATCCTCATGAGATACATTTGGCGACTTCACTGTTCATTTACAGGCACGGTAACAACCATAATGTGAATTATAAGTGTTAGTGGACCTTATGCCTCTTGACAATTTTTTACACTGGAACTCCTGCACTATGTGCACTCACACTTTGTAAAATTAAACTTGTATACTTTGTTTATAAACTTCCTTCACACTGTGTTCAGAGTGTAGGTTCTCATGATACCAATGGGACTGAAACTTGTTCAGATTTGTCTGATTTAATATTTATTGTGCTGTATCTGTCTTGGTTGCAAAGGTAGCTGTTAAATTACAAACAGCAGTTGGTCTGCTGTTTATTTTGTTTTAAGATCCTGAAGCCTCAACGTTCCCCGTGATTTTCACAAACATACTTCAGTATGTCTTTAAACCATTCACATTTGAAGTTCTCACATTCCGTGGATATGGACGAACCAAAACGCTAATTTATATCACCTTGTATTCTGCAAAACCAAACTTGGTTCTTTAAGATAACTGTTAATGGATACCTGGTCCTGTATGATCATATCAAATTGCCACTGTATACTGTAGGTCTGCATGAGACATTTAAAGCCATAGTAGAAAAAGATGAGCAAAATTTAGAATTTGTCAGCAGTAAACATTTTCA